GGTTCAGATACAAATTCAGCTGGTTTAATTGCTAAACCAACTGTACTGTAAAGATTTTGTCAAGCAAAAATTTCCCTTGTGGGAATAATTTCATCCAGGCTAAGAAATCTCTTCTATAATACAAAGAAGAAATAGTATTGTAGATAATCATACTTTAATATATAAAAAATAAAACATAAAACTGAGCTTTTAAATGTAAGAGAAATGTATACAAACCAGGACAGCCAGAGCCATCATAATGAGCACTGGAACCTGCAGAATAAACGGAATCTCCTTCATAAGTGCTTTGATGAATTCACCGATGCCTTGTCCAACGTGCTTCAACGGCTCAGTTACAAAGTTGGTGAAAGTAATCGCCAGTGCCTAGAAAAATACAAATAAAACCCTGTGTTGTCACCACTTACAAAGAGGAACAGTCTCTTTGGGCTTGGCACATACCTTTGTGGGTGGAACCAGCAGCACAGGATTTACAAGTAGAGTTTCATAGTACTTCTGACAGGGATCGTCCTGAAACGTCCATTTACTTCTGAGCCATTCTGTGATCAGAGCAGAGATGTATTGTTACTACTTTTAACAAATATGTCTGATGACACAGTATTAATACAGAAAGTAGCATCTCAACTGTAGTTGGAATAGAACTCTACTAGATCGGTTCAAAGCTCACTTATTTTTAAAAACCTGAAATCAGCCTGGCAGCGTAGTTTATCCCAGAAGGAGAGGGAAGGCCAGAAAGAAAGTAAAGTAACTGAGGTTTTCGCATGTTTAGTCAAGAAAATTCTCTTTTATCAGATGAACTTAGTACCCAGAAGCCTCACAAGAAAAATAAGTCTCGTCTGTGGGAGCTACTACCTAGCACATTTTTGTCCACAGCTACTGAAACAGAAGTAATTCTGAGCCTTATTACTCACCTGCCAGGCTCCAAGTAGATTAAAAATGTGAATTTGGTTTGCTAGATTTTAAGGGATGGTATTTACAAGCATAAAGTCTTACTCCCTGAGGGAATTTTCAAGTTATAAACAAGTAATTTATGACACCAGTGTTTCTGCAGTTTTAGTACAGTCAGAACAAATCATTGAAATTTGAATTTAACAGAGCAATCGGTCAATAAAATTACAAAGGGAAGACTGTAAGAAGCAGTTGTGAAGAGCTGCCAGCATTTATCTACCTGCTGCAGCACAAATAATGGCTGATAAGAAAATCCAAATTTTCTCTGTAAAATAACAACACCAGAGTAGGTAATTAAAGATCTAATTTCTGAAGTCCATTGTAGTTGCAGGCCTGGCAGGTGAAAAAAACCACACCTTTTTCTTGCATTCTGTCCTCCTACCTGCTACTGGGGGAGAGGAGTGGGTAAACACAAGGCAAGTTAGAAGGAAAAGCAGTAACACGTGACATGCTCTAAGCACAGTTTTGTCACCAGCTCTCCTCCCAAAGCCTCATAAAGAAAGTCATGCGGAATGTCAAAATGGTAAAACCCCATAATCATGTACTCAAGAAAATTCAATGTACTACTCATGAAGGAGTAAGAATATTCTTGAGACATTGGGTATTTTGAGATCTTTGATACTATTACAAAATAACGAAACAAGTATTTACCAATAAGACTTTCCCCCCAGTGCAACTTCTCAGCACAGACGTTATCAAACTGCCCCATTTTTGCAATTTCCGCTTGATGCTGCGCGAAGGCCAGCTGCAGGGGAACGGAATTACTTGAGAAAACATGAAACGCCCGCGTCCATGCAGCACTGCACCCGAGCTAGTGATGTTTGCCATAAATCACCTGGGTAAATGTGTGTTAAGCAGAGTTTGTTACTAAACAATTCAACAGAATTAAATTCCAGGTACTTCCTAGGAACGGGTAGAAACTACCAGGACAGCCACCTGCCCGGCTGCAGTGAAATTCCTATGGCAAGATACAAAGGACTGAGATTTTTGTGGTTGGGCTGTGACCCAGCAGCATAAATTCCTCCTCATTAAAACCAAAACCACTGCACAGTCAACTACTTCATTACTGTTAATGAAGCATTTATCTCTGGTCTATCCCATGCTAAATAGAGCTTCAGCCAGAGAATCTTCAGAAAGAAGAAACTCCCCACGATGTATTTTCATAAGACTTCTCTACCAAGCTGCTTTAGACAAGAGTTACACGCCATGAAATCAAAGTTCTGCTGCTTTATCAGTTTAGTGCACTTCTGTGGTAGGATAAAAGCTGTCAGGGTTTCTTTTGTTCTTTAAGACTAATGCATCTGTCAACATGCAAAACAAAACATTAACCCTTTATTTATTTTGCAGTAAATTACCACCTTATATAAACTCACTAAAGGAACTGAATAACCTTAAGCCCATCGTGCAGCGTTCGATTAACAGTTGGACTCTACGATCTTAAAGGTCTTTTCCAACCTAAATGATTCTATGTTTCAATAACATTTTAAGCCCAAAAGCCGTTAAGATTTCAGAGCACCTTACCTTATACAAGTAAAGCCAATTCCATGCAAAACTGATGAAGAAACTTATTAATAAAACACGCTTTAGCTGAACAAACCAGTGAACACGTGTCCAGAGCTCTGTGGCAATCACAGTTACAACGCAGACCAGGCACAAGAGTAACTGAAAAAGAAAACAGGAAAAAATTATGATCCAGATTTGGAATTTTCCAAACTTACTGCCAGTACGCGTGAAGGAACTTCCAACTTTTTTTTTTTTTGTAACTAGCATCATTTACACAAAACAGTTGAGAGATTTTTTTCCTTGCCTTCACAGCATGCCTGCAGCAGTACAAGGCAGAAGAGTTTCACAGTATTACTAGTGGTCACATCCTTACATTGGAGTTGCTCATTTCTTTCTTTTAATATTTAGTTACTTCTTCCTTGCACTGTTTATCATGTTACCTACTGTACTTGGAAATTATACAATCGGTGTAATTCAGTGCTTGTGCCTTGTACGAACCGCCGAGGCGCGGTTTGGCTAAGAGATCAAGCTACAGTCTGGGTAACAGCAGCAAGAATTCAGAGAAGCCCTTCAAAGTCTCTCTCTCCACCTGAGGACCCCCAACAGCGAGGCTACTCGCAGCTTGCTTGTCTTGTTTGGCTTCCGTGGACCCCTTCAAAACTAAACAGGCTACTTTCGAGATCATGTCAGCATAGAATGTTAGCATAAAATGTTAGCATGTTCTGACTTGTTCAGTTTATTAGAGATCCTCTGCTTAGCACTGTACAACTCCATTTTAGAGAATATGACATTTGCACATAACCACGCTTTCTTTCTCTCCAATGCTGTACCATCTTCCCCCACAAAAATTCACAAAAACCTCTAACCTGCAAGACCTCAAATATATGTTTGTCTCAATATAAATCTATTTCATCTCCCACAGAAGCCAACAGCTTCTGCCTCTACTCGAACAAAAGACAAATCTGGAAAACCTGTACCACACGAGTTGTCAGTTTAAGCGTTAAGAAAGTACTGAAGTCTAATGAGGCACGCAACACATAAAAAAGATAAGAGAAGAAAATAGAAAGTGTAGCAGAAAAAAACCCCACAAAGCTACAACAGGAAAAGCTGGCCGCAGGAATAAAAAAACTCGAATTCTTATTTCAAGCGAATACAACCTCTACCTTCGGCAACGATGAAACAAGAGGAGCGACGATGGGAAGAACTGCTGTACGTGCAGAGGTAAGACATTGGTTGACTCTACTTGCACAAAGAAACAGGAGAAAACAGCAACTAAAACGCAACAAGAAACCCTTTCTTCTTCCCTTACCAGAAACATATTATACAGATCAATTCCAAAAGTGTCTTCAAATCTCCAGTGCCAAGCTTTATAATCATGGTGCTTGAAATTGATCAAAATGTCACTAAGTGCATCATCCACAGCACCCGACTGCCACGTCTCCTCGTTGAGAAACCTCAGGATCTCCGAATACGTCTGTTTTGTAAGGATGATCTCGGCATCGTAATGGACGTGGTCCACGTTTTCCTCAGGCTGAATTAAAAGAAAGCAAAACCACGGTTAAAGGCTGCTTACTTGGAAATATTAGTCCCTGTAAAAAACCTGCATGCTCAGGCAAAAACCCGATTCTATGCCCTCATTATGTAATAGCACCTTCTTGAAGCAGGCTGCAGGAGGGACATAAAGGAAAGGGAGGACACTACGATTCTATACCCTTTTTGTTCATTCTTCTAAACTATACACAGATTCAACTGGTTTGTACTCTTCCAAGCCTACAGCAAAACCCTAAAAAAGTAAGTTCTCTCACCTGTTATTGCAATTTTACAACTGCTTCTCATTAACAAGTAATAATTAAGAATATGCTATACGTGCCTCAATACAGATAGAAACTAGTAAATACCAAAACAAAACTTACATTGCCTGGAATAATGTTCTTTGTTAAGTATTAATTTTGCTTATCGCTGCCTTTGAACAGAAAAAAATGAAAAACACCTGAGAACAATACAGTAAAGGAAGAAATAAGGCGACTCTTACGTGCAAATTCTAACGAGCTACTATTCCTAGATGGCAGAGTCTAAAACAGGGTTAAAAGGTCTGCAGCAAACAAGCTAAAAGTTTCTCTTTCCAGTTTAACAACCACTAATGTGAACTGAACAGGGTGTTACTACAGCTGCATCCCAGCAATGGATATTTGGATACAGCTCTGAGTTGAGGCAGTCTTCCTTCAGATGCTTTACAGATCAAAAGGGAACTGTCCCTCCTGAGCACACGGCTAACCAACGGCAATGCCGGATGCACACACTTCTGTCCATTTTTTTCTTTGCATTTCAGTTCATTTTCATTTAAAGTATTCCAGAATAATTAATCAATACTTGATAACTGTGAAGAACATATAAAGCAATCATAGGAACTTCAATTATTTTTTCATGACGGTTCAAATACTTACAAGGCCAAGTTTTCCAGCTTCATTTAAAATCTTATTCAAGTACCGCTTAAAAATATAAAAGCTACGGCTTTCACGTGATTTGGCATTCCTCTTCTCACAATCTTCAATCTGCAATGTGAAGACACTCTTATTTACTTCTTGCTCAAAACAGCTTGCTCACAGGAGAAAAAAAACCCCAAACACAAAACTACCAATGCATTAGACTCAGGATTAACAGAGGCACATTTCTGTAGTCTAGCAAAAGTACACAGGATAAAAAGCGTGTGCAGTCACTGAAGATACTGCTTTCCATGGAACTGGCCACTACTAGAGATTTCAAATCTTCTAATATGGTTTGAATGCTAACCTCAGTTAAGACCAGATTTAAAAAAAAAAAAAAAAAAAGAAAGTAACTCCTTAAACTTTGTTTACATCAGAAAAAGAGAACTAACTAAAATACTAACTAAAACTATTAAAATTACATATTCTGTTGGGTGTCCAAGTGGCTGAGGGAAGTGAGAGCCCTAGTACCTACACAAGCACCACCACATGCTCCTGAGCTCGGAGGCAGCAGCAGCAGCATCTTCTGGTGGGTCTTGCAGCAGCCTCTGGGGGCTCAGCGCTGCCCCTTGCGCTCGGCCACAAACACATTCTCCGTGCCCACAACCCACCCCTTAAAACTCCAACAGATCTGGACAATCTGAAATTGAAAGGGTGGGTTTCTTGGCTTTTAGCAGCATGGTGTAACAGGAACACCACGGGGGACCTGCTGACACTGGATAGAAGCACCAGCTCCTATCAACTTCTGCTACTCTGTAAAACATTTTAGGAGACAGACTTCGGCAGCAATTTGGAATTGAGTTCAAATCACTTCCAGTCTCTCCCCTGAATGCAGAGGTTCCCCCTGCCTAATGCATGGTCTCTCAAAAATGATACTAGAAAAGCACCATCAGAAAACACAAACTATCAGAGGCTGGAAAATACTCTGAAGTTCCATAACAAACCTTCCGTTGCAAGGAGTCTACTTCCCTGGAACAACTCGGTAAGATTTCAGTACTGACTGCATCCACAGCTTTATCCTCAGAGTCATGATAGTTTGCCTAAAATTACAAAAGAACACCACATATTTTAGAATCGAAGAATTTGATCAATACACCATGTTACACTTCTATAGTCAGACGACTATAAAAGGAACCCAGCAGCTAAAAACTGAGTGTTGGTCTTTGCTGCCAATGCTCTCTCAATGATACTCCCATTGCCTCTCTGCTGCTACTTCAGGCTTCAGAGAGACAGTTGCTTTAAGTTTCTCTAAACGCCGCTTCGAAAGGTGAGGTCTTGCCCTGTCCTCCCCCACCTGCCCTTTCCCCTCTGCGTGCCAGAGAGCCACACAGCGCATCAGATTAGATAATCGGGCTGGTCGAAAACTGACTCAGCAAGCAAAGGGGCAGTTTTCAGCCAGACAAACTCCCGATCCCACTGGCCACACAGCCAGACTGAAAGCAAACACAAAACCCCATTCCGGGCTGCACAGCTTTCCTTTCGCAGTTCTTCCTCACTGTGAAACCTCCCATTTTTTCTGTTCATTCCTTTTTAGCAGCCCTGCTTCTACACAAGCAGGCCTGCACACCGAGGAAAGTCTCCAAGCGCAGCATCGCATCCACTGCTGAACTCGCACTGACACAAAGTCTGGTTTTGAGCACTCGGGTGCCTGCCTACCTCAAAATCTCGCAGTGCAGAGCAGGAAAGAAATGCTGGAAAGATGGATTAAACCCAAAGCAGTACTTTTTTTCCCCTCCTACAAAATGCTATTCTATTTTTGTGGGAGACCACAGTAAAACTCCTAATACACTTTTTGTTTAAAGCTCAAGCAGTTGGGCACCAAGTTTAAAGACTGCAAAGCTTGCGGCTTAATTTTAGGGATGCCAATGACTATCAGGTGGACTTGGGGGGAGGTGGAGGCTGAAAAGGAACTCCACAGAGAGAAATAAGACAGTTTACATTTTTTTAGCTTCAGAAAATTACGTTCTGAAGCATTGAAATGTATCTATCCAAGACTGCAAAACCAAACCTGAAAGCTGAGGAATGACGTAAATCAAGGCTGCCCATACAATCACCCACTTTATAACATCCCGAGTGCACACGCACACAGGACAAATAATATGCAGCTCAGCGTGTCCAACTCTCACACAAGAAAAATCAATCCCTATTCCAGTCTTCCTTCTGAAAACTCTGATGGCCAGCATTACAGAACATCACTGGTGTTCATAACACTCACACAGTAAATGGAATTATTTCCACACTGATGGGGAACTGGATAAATTCAAGTAAAATACAATCATTAATGCTAACTCCTGCAACTTTTATCAGCTAGGAACTAAATTTTCAAGATATTCAACACCACACTTGAGAAACTAGCAAGAGCTGTTTAATCCATTTCAGAGAAATAAACCGTGGAGAAGTTAGCCACCACCTGTGAAAAGACACAAGGTGTGGTTCCCGTCCCTTGACTGGTGCACAACAGAAACTTGTCAGCAAAGCGACCCGACCTAATTATGTTATAAGATGGTTATTTTTTCCTTGCCAGTTTAACAACGGGCACCCCACACTTTTACCTGTACAATCTCAGAAGTAACCTGACAAGACCTGGAAACAAATGGCAATTTTTATTGTCTTCTAACGTCAGGATTTTAGGGCAGTATTTCATCAGCGTGCGGCTGAGGGACTGCGTGAGACAGACATATTCTTGCCTGCTTTCTTTTTCTACCTTGTAAGGTCTCCTCATTGTTCCTGACGCGGCGTCGTAATTGAGCATGTCCGTGGGGTCGATCCATTCGTCGTGCTGGGCTTCACCGCTCCCCACGAGCGCGGCTGCACACAAAACCACAGGGAACAGCATCCTGGATCGCTGAGCGCAACAAGAAACCCAGGTATTTAGACCAGGATGTATCGCCCTGTATGAAAACACTAAACCAATCTCACGACGGGAGCAAAGTACTTAAAAACTCGGTTCTCTGTTAAGCAGATTAAATTTCACTGATAAATTTTTCTTCAAAGAAGAACACGCGACAAACAAACCGAGTTTCTGCGCCTGGATCAATACAACCGGCTGTAGCTATTCTGTGGCTATTCTAGCAAGAACGTGGAGCAACTAAGCCGAGTTTATATGGCCGGAGCAATACAAAAGGCCGGAGCAATGCAAAAGGCTAGAACAATACCAAAGGCTGGAGCAGCGCAGATTTCAGCGTTGCTAAACGCGAGAAGTCGCCCACAGGTCCCGGC